GACCTGAGTTCCATCTCTACAGAGAATCCAGTTAGCCTGCCCCAGCTGACGAGCAGCTGCAAATTTCTCACTTAAATAAAAGCTTGTTTCTAAATCACTTAGATCTGTCTGCTTGAATTTTGGGTCCACATTCTGAGCCTTTGACAGCTAAAGCGTCAGGTAATCATTAGCAAAGGACCACTGGGTTCGGCTTCAAATATATCCACCTTGGAACAGGTTTTCAACATAGTCAGTTTCACCGCTACTTCATGTGGAAGAAACCCCCTATCCAGTCAAGAATGTTTGTATGTAAAAATACTTGGGGTTGTCTGCTGTGCTCTTCATCTTGTGTTTCTCTCATTGTGATTCAGTGAGGAGTTGAGGAGGTTTGCATCTTTATAAAACAGGTACAAGAAAATAATCAAGACTGTCCCATATTTCCCCTTGTTGGTTTTGAGGGGCCAAAAAATAGATTTTGTTAGTTTTATAAATATCACAACCCAACACAGTAGTTCTTTGTAGCTGCAAGCAGAGCAGAAGATGTCCAATTTCTCTCCATCCAGGTTGCAAATGAGCTTGCCTGAAGCCTCTGCCGGTTAGGTTGTTGTTGCAGGATCCTAACTGAATGATACAGTTAAGACTCAACAAAAATCATTTGAATTTCTAAACATTGTCTTTATGTTTTATTCCCTTTATTATCCACCTCTCTCTTATAATGTTGGTCCTCTTTACAATAATTAAATTGTTTCCTAGTATGGTAAGGTAATAACACAAATTGGCAACACAGTATTTAGCAATACTGTGTCTGCAATTTAGTTGGGCTGTGAAAAAACGAAAGAGCCTTTCAGCAGGAAGTTTGAAAAGAGCTAAACAAAGTTGCTCTGTTCAATTCTTTGGAGATTTAAAACTCTGTTGTTGCATATAAGGTAAAATAATGATGACTAATCAGCAAGGCTTAAAAAGTATTTCCTGATTCCCAATGCTAGACCTGTGAATAATTCTCATGCCAATGTTAACGTTTGAGTAAATGCATAGAAAACATGGAGCTCAGTGAGTATTTAATTCATTGATCCTTTATCTTTTTGAAAATCAAAACAGAAGTAACACAGATATTGGTGATTCAACAATCAGAGATATCAATGTACACCATTGCCAAATGATATAATTCACACAATAAATACTCAACACAGGCACAGGAAATCAGTTACCTGCCCCGTGTTTGCAGTTTGTCTCATTAAAGGAATAGTACACCCAAAACATGATTAGCCTTCATTTTCTACTCACCCCCATGCTGAACAACACTCTGGAGTACTTTTTTGATATCTCAAATGCATCTGGAGATCTGGGAGACTTCTTGCTGTCTGCTGACATTCAAATAATGGAGGTCTATGGCGCCCGAGACAGAAAGGTCCACAAAAGTCCACAAAAACTTGTCAATATTCCTCCATACTGCTCGTCCAATGTAATCCAAGTGTCCTGAGTGGGTAGCATCCAGAATTTACTCGAAACGAAGTCATTTAGAACGTTTTAGAGCCTAAACAGTAGTGTATAGGATTTCCTAATAGCGCCCCCATGCGCGCTCACGATTCTACGGAAGCCGGCAGACCAAACCAGCGCATTCAGCTCGGCAAAGAACTCATGCTCTTCCTCAACACTGAAGTCCTCAGACATTTTTCTTTCGTTGTTTCTTTCTTTGCACAGGTAAACAGCACATTTCTTCTTCTACGCTTGCATTATCGGCAGACCAGACGCTGAATGCGCACTTCCTTCCGGTTTGGTCTGCCGGCTTCCGTAGAATCGTGAGCGCGCATGGGGGCGCTATTAGGAAATCCTATACACTACTGTTTATGCTCTAAAAACATTCTAAATGACTTCGTTTCGAGTAAATTCTGGATGCTACCCACTCAGGACACTTGGATTACATTGGACGAGCAGTATGGAGGAATATTGACACGTTTTTGTGGACTTTTATGGACCTTTCTGTCTCGGGCGCCATGGACCTCCATTATTTGAATGTCAGCAGACAGCAAGAAGCCTCCCAGATCTCCAGATGCATTTGAGATATCAAAAAAGTACTCCAGAGTGTTGTTCAGCATGGAGGTGAGTAGAAAATGAAGGCTAATCATGTTTTGGGTGTACTATTCCTTTAAGGGACCAATTCTGACACAACGATGCTCATATAAACACATACCCACTTTGCCTCACCATAACGGTAAAGTTGTATGGTTGAAATTAAGCATGCTTTACCTTTACAAATGCCTCTGAGGAATGAGTGAGATGAGAAGAAACATGACAACAATTACAAATGTTTTGGCAGAACCACTGAGAAGACTGATTTTATTATTATTTTTTTGAGGTTATGGTTGATAAAAATTATGATGGCTCAGGTATGTCACAGATGAAGTCAGAGAAAAATTGGTAATATGGTGATGAGGTAGTAGCCAGCAGAGCGCTGCATACTTTGTTCTCCAATGGTGTTTGGGCAATCTACTGTTAATGATGCTGATATATTTACAATACACATACAGACACAACTTGTAAGGTATGTAGGGATGGGTTGTTTTCCTCTGGCTATATAGAACAGAGTAATGCATTGGTGCCCCGCCCCCACTTCTTGCTGCACACCACAGTAGCTGGTTTAGTAGCATTTCTGAAAAATACGGACCAGCCAGCAATCAAAGCAAATTATGAAAATTATCCTGTTTTACATCTTTTTTAAGCTTTACCAACAATTCTGATACCAGCCCATCCACATAATCAAGTCCTGTCTTTTACTTAATGTGGTGTAATTTCACTGGGGGAAAAAATAAACACTATTCATTGCAATTTCTTTTTTCATTTTGTATCCTCAAATTGGCACAAGCCTGGTTAAGTTGTTTTGATGTAAAAAGATTTAATGCAACTAACATTAAGATTCTACAAAATTTAGCTCACTCTGAAGGCAACCCTTTAGAGCGATTTCAGTGTAAATTGGTCCCTGCAGGGTTAAACAACATAAAAGTAACTTCACCTATAATCTTTTCTTTCAAAAGAGGAGTTAGTTATCTGGACAATGGCTATTTCAAGTAGAAGTGGGTTGGATGAATCCTAGAAGCTTCAAACCTATGCATCTCTAACCCATCTCTAACCGCCTAAGTCATGGTTACCATTGATCATGGAATTATTATAAAGCCACAGTGTATTGCTATAGGCAAAGCCTTCTAGCATACTTCTAATACAGCTAGAATTTTCTATTTCTGCTGGTAAATGTCCCTATAATGGTATGGATGATAAAATGCTGGAGTTATCTTGTGCCCTTCCCCTCGCGTGGCTGCACACTGTCAGTAAGCAGGCTGAAAGAGAATGACTATGTTTTTCTCATATTTACAGAAAACACCAAATGTATTGTTTAAAAACATGTCTGGTCATTAAAAACAGATATATTCATGTTGTGGAAGATAAAGAGGCTCTTATTAAGGTGTTTTAATACTTACTGTACTTACTGATCTTACTACTGTAACTTGGAACTGGTACTTTTACTCTAGCCAAAAATCTCATGCTGTCAGTGCCATTTTGCAGTTGACTTTACTAAGATTTGTATTGGCAAAAAAATGAAAAGAAACCTAATGTCTTTGTTTGTACTGCAATTTTAGTCGATATAAGTAAAAATGAAACCATATTACAAGATTTTCAAATGCTCTCTAAACATGCCATTTCAGTCAGAATTGGTCCCTGCTGTATTGCACAACAGTAGAACAACTTAAATTCCACCTTCTACAGTAGTGTTTTTAATCTGGCTAGTTCTAGTAGGAAGGTGCAGGAAGATCTCAGGAGTAATTCTCCATTGTTGGCCATTCAGGCAGCTGCTGGCCGCTCGATTGCTGCTAGCCTTTTATATCACAAGCATAGCCGCAACTCTAACCTATGCAATGTCAGGGATTCCTTTGATCACAGTATCATATTGTTGTGACATAGCCACAATATATCACTAAAGCTGTTTAAGCATTACCTTTCAGCAAATACTCCTGCATGAGGAGGGTGGCAGACGGCACTGAAGCATTACCCTCACTTAGCGTAATGGACCGAAACAAGGAAAAAAGCAGGTGAATCATCCTCCCACCAGAGATCACACGTTGTACAAATAAACTGTTGCCCTTTGAGTTGTGCACACTTTGGTTCTTGCATAGTTGTTCACATGTGCATGATTGGGCGCTGAAGATTCTCACGGTTATTGGTGGGGAGGTGTTATTCTGCACCAGCTGTTGTGTCAACATAAGGTCAAGAAGTAGACCACGTGTTCGTTCTACCCCTGGTGTAAAGGCTGCATGGACAACAGCCCCTCACTGGGTAAAAATAAACAAACTTTGAAACACCACAGCTCCTCATTTGCACCTGCCATTTACCTCTGTTCGGCTGAAGCCCTATAAATGCAGGCACAGCTATTAAAAGATGGGAGATGTCTAAAATGGTGAGAGCAGATGCCGGACACCTTGCTCCCTCTGGCTTATAGAGCCCAAAATAGACTGGTTGACATATAGGTCTCTGATTGTTTGAACAAGGAATCTCATAGACTTCTGCCACCCAGCATAAATCCTTTGAAACTTCCGCACCAAAACCGCTGATTATCTTTCACCTACACTGAATCAGGCCATCTATTTGCATGTCAAAAAGCAATTTCCAAAGGCTTAACCGACAGCCTGGTCTGGGGGTTTTGTGCTTGAGAAGCACCAACACAGACGTTTTCAGAAGAGGAAAAATATGGGTGTGCAACAGGGGAACAAGTGTTGTCTTGCACAGGTGAAAATGACGTACGGACAGGCATGGTCTTTAGGCAACAGCAGCAAAGAAAAGCACATGAAACAGGAAATTAAGCCTGGCTTCTCCAAAGCTTCCCTATTGCCAAACTACTACATAAGACTATTTTACCTGCCTATGCTAGGTTGGTTAAACATGGTTCGGCAACTCTTCCAGTTTGAAAATGATCCACTTAGATCAGACTGCTTACTGCTCAGTAGAGGTATGTTATCCAAGGACATTTCACCAATAAGAGTTCACATTTAGGTAACTATTTCCCTTATTTCTCTTCTCTTTTACAACCTTTTTTTTTGGGGGGAGGAGGAGAACAAGGGAAAATGGTTACCAAGGTTGTTCAGCTTTGGACCGAACACTCAGCTTTCCAAGTAGTAATTATTTACATGTCCTGGTTAAGTCCAGACAAAAAAAAAAAAACAACAACACACAAGTTTTCTTATGGTTATTGACGCCTTTGCTTTCTTAAGAACAACATTTTTTGGAGCTTGTTCTGAAGATGCAAAGGGGCAAAAAGGTCCTTCATATACAGCGTGACCACTGATAATTACAAAAGAAAATTATTACTGTACATAGTATTTATTATATATTTTAAATTAATCTGCATCATTTTATATTTATACTAATAACCAAGTTTTCCACTTGTTTTTTAATCATTATTATAAGTCCAAAGGATCCACAAAGATGGTAGATCGAAGTCTCTGCTTTGCAAATGACATTGCTGGTTCTGCGTCTTGAGAACCCTCAGCCATGATTCAAGTCACTCTTTTTATTGCAGGCCTCTGCCTCCAATCAGACCTTGGCCTCCAGCATCTCTAGGAAGAGTTTGTGCATTGGCACCTTGCCTTGCACCTTAATGCTATAAAAGTGCTGCACAGCCTTAGTTGCAGTCTGCCTCAGTAGGGGGAGCGTCATGAGCAGTTTGCCAGCCCGTCGTGGGTCCTCCTGGTGCTGGCTGCTCTCGTAGTCCTGAAGGGCCTCGTGGAGAGCGTCTTGCAGCTTTTGGACGGCCTCCATGTCCTCTATGTGCATGGAGTCTGCTAGGACAAGAGGAAAGAAAGAAGATTTTAAGAATTTCAAATCCTAAAAACCTTTGAGAACTATAAATACAGCTTGAAGGAGGACTATGATATTTAATAGTTCAACGCTCTAAACTGTCGCTGAGCCAAATAACCAGTATTGGGTGAATTTATATAAAATAATAAAAAAAACTAATAATTTTGCTCTTTTGAGCAGTATCTTTCTGAAAAAAACAGAACAAAGTAAAAGAAGCGTTATATTTAAAACATTTTTTTGTCTTTTTATTTAGTCAGTCGGCTTAATAAAACAGTCTATTACATTTTTATTAACTGTTTATCAAAGAAATGTAGATGTTCTGAAAAAATAAGACTAAAAAGCAATCCATTGAAAAACTTACAACTCTTATTAAAATAGTGCTGTTTAGAACTAATGTTTATATCAGCTTGACTGCCCTTTTAGATACGTCCCTCCCCTTCCATTTCCGGCCTTTATTTTTTGGCCCACAGCTTTTGTCTTCTATCTCTTCGCTCCCTGGGAGGCTCCGAGGTGGCACTTTCCCTCACTGGTTAACTGGCACCTTGCAACTGGGAGACAATGTGTCATTGGCCGCCTGACTCGTCTCACCTTGGCAGCGCATATTTTACCACACGGGACAATAAAAGGCAAAACAGATTTCAGGCTTCGCCCCAGATTCATTGACTGGAACAACTGTATTCCCAAGACCTTGAGACATTTCTCACCCCGACGGTTTTCAAATCCACAGTGGTAAAATGAAGTAGGTCGTTTTTGTAAAGTGAATGTGGGAGGGGTTGTATGGGGTGAGAACAAAAGCCAAAAAAGGGAGAAAAAAAAGAGCACAGATGAGAATGTGACAGGACATGATTATAATTATCTCTTGCGTTTCACTGAAATCATGTTCACACTCAGATCGTTTGCCTTAACAAATCAATCCAGTGTTTTCTTCTAGTTTTCGCACCGACACCCATTTCTGTGATAAAGCAGCTTTAATGAAATGTTTTACAGCAGGGAGAAAATAAAAAGAGCGATGGAGACATCTCAACAGATGGGAAAAGAAAAGAGGGCAGCTCGCACACTGCTCCGCTCGGTGGAGGAGGGGGAGGAATAAAAAACAACTTTGAAGAAACAATTTCCCTGCAATCCATCAGTGAGCCCACGTCGATCGAATTGATAAACTGCTAATTACAAAATCAATCGCTATGAATTTTCACAGCTGTCAGACAGAGGGGTTCCCAGGAGAGCGATCTTCCAGAGACCTTGTTCCCCCCTCCTCTTCTCTTCCCATCCCCCAGTTCTCCCCACCCTACCTGTCTCCCAAAAGCTCTGCTGTCTGAAAGCAAAGTCCTTGCATCAGCATTTTCATTTTCAGCCCAGGACAAAACAAGGGAAAGGGGCCTGGTGACCCAGGCACGCATTGATCAGAGTCGGACAGGTCCTGCCTCCTCAAAAGGCGCCTTGTCAATAGCGGTGTGCAGCCTTTGCATTGGAACAAACGAGGCCCACCTCCCCCTGATATTCATTCCATTCGACTTAACACATTTTATTGACAGCCCACGTGCTCCTAATGAAATGCTTAATTTACCTCACATAGCTGCTGTGCCCTGCAGCTACTTTATGAGGATGGAGAAAGGGAGGGAGCACACAAGCAATATCACAGATCGGAAGATGTTCAATTACAAAACGAAAAAAATGAAATCCTTCCTGAATTTTCTTTTTGCGCCTTGTCTTTTCTCCATCAATTTATCTGATAGTCCAAACTAATAATTACCCTTGAAACTGTGTTATTTTCTCAAGGTAAACAGAATGTAAGAAAGAGAACACATTTTTTTTTTACAATTTTAACTAACTATTAAAAGCATAAAAGATCATTTAATTTTATTTACTAATAATTATTGTTTGTTTTTGTCTACATGTGGAATAGTATTTGGTCATTAGAATTTGTGTATACGCATAATTAAAAACCATAATATTTGTGAGGGATCTACTTTTTAATACTTTATTTTTATTCTATTTTATTTCAATATTCGATATAGTGCCTTGAAGACTAAAAAACAAACAAAATAATAACAGTGTGTAGGTCATTTTTTTTTTACTTTAATTATACAATACAAAGGATTTTTACAATAATTGGGAGTATTTAAAAACGTGTTTACTATATAGCGCTGCATTAGTGAATAAGTATTTCGATCAATATTTTTTATTTCTATAATATGAGCACTCACTGCACTCACTTTTGAATAACTCAACATTTAAATAGGTAAGTTAATACAATTTCACAAGATGCACCATGTTAGAAATATTTTCAAACAATGCGACTGGTTCAACAATTAGAGGAACTCCCAGTAATTACAATAAAATTAGTGAAAATGAAGCAGTCTGGTTATTCTACTTCTATTTAGGCGCTATAAATCAGTGATATATGATAAACTTCTTATATGGGGTATGAATATGGTTAAAAAGGACTGTTTATTTTAGCTACTCTTCAAACTGAGTAAGCTTTTGACCTTTTATCACTGAAATCGTCTTTAGAAAAAACTTTTACATTCTTTTTTGTATAATTGTATATTTATGTACTTAAAAAAATGTATTATACAATTAATAAAATAAGTTGCCATTAAGTTAATGAATAAATATTTATGTTAAATTTAAGATTATTCATCTAATTAACCACAGTTTTTAACTGGACTGTGAGCTCAACTCTTCTCACCTGAGTTGGCGAGAGCGATGGCTTTCAGGGTGACAAACTCCTCCTTCTCAACCTTGAGTTTCTTGTACTTGCGCACCAGCTGCAGGATGGAGACATAGAGGTCAAGCAGGCCCGTCAGCCGCGAGTGCTCCTCATCCATGATATAGTCCTCGGCGTAGACGAGCTCGTCCTCGTAGGGCAATGAGCGGAACACGATGCTGAGGATTAGGATTTCCATCCAGGCGCTCTGCAATAGACTCATCTGGTCTCCCAGAGAGAGGGTGGAGAAACCTGGATGAGAAAACAGGAGCTGTGTGAGGGCAATGTGGCAGCATATAAACAGATGGCACCAAAAATAAATCGCTTTATTGATAAATGGCAATTGAGGCTGGAAAGTTAAGTAAAGTAAAAGAAAGAAACAGGCTGATCAGTTCTGCTAAACCAGCTCATACATGTGCTTAACTTTAAAAGCAAGGTCCTCTTTGAAGCTTGTTTCAGAGCACTTGAGAGGGCTTTCCTATAAGTGAGGACAGTAAATCAGTGCAAAGGTCTGAGAACAACAAAGCCATGTGGTTACCCTTTGTATCCTGCCTTGCTGCTATTGGTGTTAGGGGGATTAGCATATATGCGCATTCATATCTGAAGGGTTAAGGACATGACATGAACACTGTAACAGGAGGAGGTGACGAGGAGACAAACACACATGAGCGCAAACACAAGAAACGTGTCAACAGAGACGTGAACGTTAAGATCATGACATCTATATGTATGAACATAAATCCAAACACGTGTAGCGCTGGGATCAGGGGGTTTAAACCAAGCATTAAGACCAACTTAGGGTGTCGTTCTGCAGCAGCTGGATGGGCTGAAATTGACTTGGGAACATCAAACTGTGGTCATTTCCTCTCTGACACCTCTACATATGCTGAGAATAGAAGATCAAATAAAACTAGCTCCCATAACCTCCTCAGATGAGCTCTGAGAAACACATACAAAAGAAAGTCAAGACAACTATGAGAGGAAAAAAGTAAGGGGCCTAACTACGGCAAAACTATGTGTGCCACACACGTCAATGTGTTTCAAAGGGGTTTAGGCCATGCATTATGTGAAAGTGGAATTAAAATGACATAGTTTTAAAACACTTTAATTAATGAAAACATTCTAACTGTCTTGAATCAATGCATTGGAGAACTACCTTTAACTATAATAATAGGCGGCAAGTCTTTAAAACATGTTTATAGCAGCATCTAAATACTGAAACTGGTTCACTCACACACTGACAGTGGCAAACTCCATTGTAGGCACAGCTGCCCTAGGGCTCACGGACAGAAAGGAGGCTGCCATACACATGAGGCCCTCTGACCATTGGTAGGCAATTTGGGTGAAGTGTCTTGCCCAAGGACACAACGACAATGAAAGCGGAGCCAGGGCTTGAACCAACAACACCCAGGGCAAACTCCTAAATCTGACACTGTTTCCCCCAGATAGAGAGAATCTTTGAACATAAATGAAGGATTGCTGTTACAGTCTCTACATTGACTGGTCCTTTTAAAACATGAAAATGTTTTCAATCTGAATACTCTCAATGAAGCTTTACTTATACTTTTCTTCTATTAATTTTCCAGTCTGTAAGAGGTTTTCTTCCAGGACTGCTCTCTATTTAGGTCCATTTTCTTACAAACCTTTATTAGGTTCTCTGACACTACCACTAACAAGTGCCATTTTTACATGGGAATGGTTTATATCCCAGTTAAGTGTTGTTTTTCTCCATATACATCCATTTGTATGTAGGCTGAATTAAGCGCTTCAATGTGAGCAGTTTATCGCTGCAGCTCCTCCAGAGTTTTCTTGGGGTCTCCTTGCAGCTTCTCTAACTAATGCTAATGAATGCAACTGCTTTTCACACAACAATTACAGGGTACTTTTTTAGGTATATTACAGCCATACTTAAATTTGAGGTAGGAAAAATAACTGCCTGTGCACAGGTTTAACAGTTATTAACATTTTCAAATTGTTATATGTCTCTTTCCATTTATTATTTGACTGTCAACAAATAGTACAGGCCCCAAAACACTCCTCACATAACACTTTCCTTCCCCCAGCTTGACATTCCTGCAAGCAGCTCATTCTGACAGCATATTATGCTGCCGAGTAACGCTCCTGATTGCTTTTACAAGTTTGCTGGTTCCACAGTACCTGCCTATGTGTGATTAACAGACAATAGATTACTGTATTGACCAGGATATGTTCAGCAAACGTTTCCACTTGAATATAAATGGTCTTAACTATGGTGTAGCCACAAACTCGATGTTTATCTCCCCCTGCCAGGAGACCCTAGTCACTCTCAACACATGCAGCTTGAGAAGACAAAAACAAAGAAGCATGAGGACATGTGAAAAAAGAAACGGGGCAGAGGAAGAGACAAGAAAAAAAAGACAGGAAGAGTAGTTCCTGAGTGTTCAATTTCCCTTATCGTGGTGATGACCACGTCAAGGGAAGAGCTGCAGGATACATTAATTAACAGATTGTGATCAGAATGTGAAGGCTTTCACATTTTGAAGGGTAATCAATACTGGGTAGAAAAGAGCTCAAACTGAAAGGTGCTAGAATGGTCCAATCCCAAATTAGAGCCAACAAGGCAGAGTGCCGAAAGCACTCAAAACACTTGACTATTATCAGTGAAGGCAATAAGCCAAATTTTCCAGCGGCCTCTTCCATTACACTTCTCCAAGCGGCATCTTAAAATGCTTTGTTGTGTTATTTCCTTGTCTGCATACGTAGCCATTATGTCGGCAGACTGTGGACTGGCCGGAGAGAAATTGTCATGCGAGCACAGACGTGGTGCTGATTGCCGCATCAGGTTGGCATCACAATCACAGGCGAAGCTTTGTGTAGCCTTTTAATGCCAAGGAGGACTGAAGCGGAACTAAAGCGCTGCTCTCGCCATGACAGCTCGCGTGACGGCCCTGTTCAGAGCTCGCTGGAGTGGCTTTCGAGTTGTTCTGATACAACCGACACCTCTCAGCCATATGCAAACTTGCATCCCAGCAGCCTGCAATTACCTTTGACGCTAAAAGTCCTTGAATTTAATCCAGTGTTGTGAGATGGAGAGGTAGTGTTTTTCCCCGCTCCATCCCCTCTCCTCAAAGCCTAAATTATCGCTCCAAATGGGATCTTGTGTCGTTGCCTCGCCTTTTTCCACTCAATTTAATCGAGTAATGAAGTGACTTCCCGACTCCACAGGTCACACGGCGCTCCGGCCGCTGCACTCTGAAGGTGGCCCTGTTAAGTGCCGTCGGAGTGGGTGATTTCCCCTAATGAAATATCAATATTTACATCTTCATTTCCAGCCCACTGCCTTGGCAGGGTTTGACCAAACATGACACAATATTGACCAAATCAGAGGAGCCTGTCTGTTCACTTGAAGAACCTTTTCCGCTCCACAGCTGAACGCATCAGCAGGTTTCTGTCTGGGATTCTTCAAAGCGATAATTACTACATTTATTTCTTTGTTCACTTGCTTTCTAGCAAACTGATCAAATAAGAATCAAGCGGTTAGGGTTTTTCTGAACAACCAAATTAAATGACTCCTCATTAATTCAGATCTGAGTCATTTTGGGACACCAGTCTTAATTTAGCAAAACCGTTAATGGAAACAAAAATACGAAACACTAAATACATTTTTTATCTTTATCATGTTTTCAATAAACCTTAATCTATCATCTAGCTAATTCTGAGCAGGTATTTCTCTCTCTTCTAAAAAACAAAAACAAAAAAAGAAACCCACAGCATGATGCTGCTATCCCCATGCTTTACCAAGAGAATGCATTGTTCAGGTTTATGTGTTATAAAATGTTTTCAATAAACATAGCATCCAGACTTAACTCAACTTCAGAAAATAAAACTAATACAAAAAGAAAAAGGTTATAATAAATTAAGGTCACTAAAATAAAACTCTCTACCAAAAACAAGACTGAAATCTATAATCTCTCTTTATCTTCCCAAAAGCCTTCAGCTGTGAGCAGGAGGGGGCAGCCAAAACCCACAGAAGGCTGTTTCAAACCCCTAACAGAGATTAATCAGTGCACTGTTTCATCTGCCGGAGAACAGGATGGTCCAAAATGAAATGCTGGAGATTTCTGTTGAGCTGGAGTTCATATTCTATTAATTTATTATTGTTTCTTTCTCCCCGAGGGCCATTAGCGCAAGTAATAAAAAGAGATGTAATTACGAGGCACGGCAGTCCCCTCCAGCTGCAGCCCCCTCGTAACTCACCCTCAATCAGACAACACAGCAGACAAAGAGGGGGGAGAGTTGAGGAAAAAATGGCAGGCGAAAGAGAGAAAGAAATGGGGGATAGAAGAGAAAAGAAGATATAAAGCAGAGACGAGGGAGATAAGCAAGAAAGAGGACCAAAGAGGACCAAAGCTTTAGAGGGAAAAAGAAAGTGTGAGATAGAAAGGGGGGAAGGAGAGTAATTCTGGCTGGACATTGGCTGATCTATCATAGCCAGCTATCAGAAGGACAAGCAGGCCCTGAAGACTTCTGCCTGGCGGCAATCTCACCTCAGCCAAGTCAAGTGCTCTCTGGGCACTGGTTATGCCCAAACAGGACCCGAGAGGTTCAGCACGCCTTTAATTCTAACCTCAAACTGGGCCCAGTGATCATATCGCCGTCAGCTTTTTTCTGTATCAAAGCTCTCCCTTTTAGTCTAAACGTCTCGGTAAAAGCCCAGAATATAAATGCAATGCTGATTAGTCAGGTTTGTTTTGATTCCAAAGCATAATTATTCTTTGGACTGTTTTTGTTCTAAAAAGCTAAAAGATGGGATTTCTGTTGAATTTACATGACAGCATGAGAAGAACCCGATCAATAACATCTCAGAAATAACTTGCTTTGCTCAACATAAATATCTTGACCAGAAATCCACCTGCATACACAACACTAACAGATCTCCTGCAGGCTCTCACTCCACCTTCATTTATTGACATGATGACGGTTGTTATATGTAAACAAAATCAAGTTAAAGCAAACCAAACAACAAGATAAAGAAACATCTTATTAGGTTATGTGAAAATCCTGTAAAACGAACATGTTTTCCTATTTAGGAACACGTGATTTTAATCTGGAGTCTGTTAATGTTAGAGGGGTAAGAAATACTTAATACAATAAATCCCATGTTTCAATCTGAGAGGTGTTCAGTCCTTGGCCAATACGGACTTTACAAATCTCTGTTTAGCTGCAAAGACGGGACGAATCAAGCTTTAATTATCACCATAATTACATATAAT